TTTCGTTTTCATGACATGCTAACAGCGCTCCTGCGCTGCTGTGCACCGCTGCCATCAGCTAGGGACTCTTTGCATCCAGTTGATCTGCGGTGTCCAGGACAAAGGGAAGCTACGGCAACCGCGCCGAAGAAGCGGCGGATTTGCATACTGGTTGTTCAGAGCCGTACAGTGGGAGTACGCAAGCAGGCTCCACACGGGATGCAGGATGTGGGTCAGACACGCGTTGTTGATCCATGTGCATTCTTGAGCCTGGCTCACTTTCTCGCACGGTTGCGCATTGTTTTCTTCACACAAATTTCAAGTCTTCCCAGAACACACGCACTTGTTTGATTTGTTCGGTCCACCTCAACTGCATCAACATCACAAACCAATCTGCGCGCCGGACATGTGTCACACGGCACAAACCAAAGCGACCGCCTCCAGAAACCAATCCGACCCCTTCGTCAATCCTACCCCCGTCACAAACCAATCCAACCCGTCGTACAAACCAATCAGAACTTCACCCACCAATCTGAACCCCAACAAGGACCCTGACGAAAACGTCCATTCAGCCATGTTAGAATCCTGTTCACTGCTTCAAGCCAAACCGGGACATGCGACAAAACAAGAGTCCACCTGAGAAGCGGCGCTCAGCTCTTTTTTGTCAGGCGTTGCTCAGAGGTGACAGGCTCAAGGATGCAGATGGATCGACAACGCGTGTCCGACCCATTAATATCATCTGCATCCCCGCGCGGAGCCTGCTTGCATACCCCCAGGTCAACAACGCGTGCTCGACCTCCACTGCAGGTTTGTTACCTACTGGGGCGTGAAACGAACAGGAGGTATGCCGATAGCGGCAAAAAACAATGCGTGCATTAGTGCAGGAAAGTCAGAATAAGGCGTATCCTGCTGACCTGAATGATGACTCAAAGCAAATCCGAAGGCTACTATGCAAAGTAGCTGAACATGCATACGCATGCTGATCTCATCACCCAAGGCTCGACCTGGGATGGTGACAGGGTGGGTGGGTGGGCAATCAAGCCCTCAAGAACATGACCCCAGAAGGCTTGAAGCAGAAATGGCAACGCAGCCAAAGATTCAACCAGGATTAAAACACAGGGGAAACAAAAAAACCCAAGCGTTGGAATCCTATTCACTGACGTGCAAAGAGGCGCTCAGTTCTTTTTTGTCAGGCGTTGCTCAGAGGTGACACGTGCAAAAAAGAAGAAGCTGGCAGTGGGGCTTGTCTTGAAGAAACAAATCTTCGTGGGTGCTTGTAGCGTTAATTTGCCGTGTCCACAAAGTTACATTAGACAAGCGACCGCGATTTTCTCGGCGGAAGCGAATGGTTTTGTTTGGGGTTTGGGGCGTCGTCGTGACAGTTTTGCGGTGTTTCTGGAGCTGGAAGCCAGTTTAGTCGAACACAAAGCAAATGTGGTCGCTTTATGTGGCACATTTGTTCGCAGGTGTTCAGAACGCAGGCGTTGGCTTGGACTTGCACACGTTTTTCGTTCTTGAAATAAGCCAGAGATTCAATCGCTTGATATTTCTTTTTGCACGCGCGCCGCATTTGCCTTGCGTTCCGGCGCTTGCTTCAAGAACGGGAAAAAACGGTTGCTCAAAACAGCAGAGGTTTTTCGAATGCATACGTTTGGTAGGACTTGCGCGTGTGTTGTGTTCGAAGGAAGTCAGAGATGCAAAGACTGCATATTTACTTCATTTGCGTGCGCACCACACTTGCCTTGCATTCTTTTGCTTGCTCCTGGAATTGACTTTGTTTCGAGCGGTTTCGGGGTAAGCCACCTGAGACCCAACAAGCCAATCCGACCCCTCACAAACCAATCCGACCCCTTCCACAAACCAGATTGAGCCTAGCCCCATTGGGGGGCATGACAGGGGCCCTAAACCACCTGATTCTGTGCGACATGGGTGCACCACGGAACATGTTCACCAATGCAGCAACAACTCGGACAATCAGCTAGAACTGCAGGACATTATGTGCAGCTTGTCAATGCTGAATCGGTAGCGGTATTTAGTGAAACGTGTTTTACTTGCCGTGCGCAAACTGACATTGGCACTATTGGGTTGTTTGTTGCAGGACTATTGCTCAAGTTAGCAACGTGATTGAACTACTGCTCAAAATGGTGTGTTGGATTGTTGTGTTTGTGCAAAGTGTCCACTGTTTCTTGGGTCCTTGTCGGGGTCAAGTAGTTCACACGATGTCCTACGTACCTGCCGGGCGCCCCGAGGGCGGGTCTTGCCGGCAAGCTTGCTACGTGGCATCCGTACAATGCACAAAGTTGCCTCAACTATTGAGCTAGACTGTATAGCAAGGACAGGGCAATACCGAGTCCAACTTGAGAATGATTTCAAAGATGATTGGTAGACACTTTGCATTTGAACATGTGCAACCACATGGCAGGCTGCGAGACATTTGGGTGTCTGGAAAGGCTGTGGATGTTGCATTCCAGCTGCTTGAATGATTGCATCCAAGCAGCAACAGCTGTTGTTTGACGTTGTTCTGTTCACATTTACGTTAACACAACAAGCACATGTTGGCGTTTGATGCTTTTCCAGCATCAGTGCATGTTCTGGATATTGTTGAAGGGCATTCCCCGCAAAGGTGCTTGTAAATCGAAGCAACATTCAAGGAGTTTGCATATTTTGCACGTTTTAATCGTTGGGAGCCCAGCTGAAACTGCTCTAATCAATCTTGATTTTCCCGTCAGGTTGGCGACGCGCATGCAAGATGTTTGGCCACATCACTTCACCAAAAGGGTCACGAGGCAAAGGGCCTCAAGACACTTTGAGCGCATGGCATCAGCCAGTGTATTCTTTGCAGGCTGCTATTTTCAGCAGGGTTTCATGACTTTGCAGGTGACTCTCGTCAATGTGAAGGGCTCTTCAGATGTACCTTTGATTTCGTGGGGTGAGGCGAGTTGCCATGGGCATTTACCATGCGAGGGGCGAAATGTTCGGCCTGGAGGTGACGGTTGAGCAGCCAAGACGAGGGCGTCCTCAGGCCATGCTGAGCTGTATGCCTTTCTCGCTGATTTTGGTTGTGTGGATCGGATTGCAAAGTATATTTTTTTCCCACCCGCCAGGAAGGGGTTGTTAGATTTTATGTTGGAATCCGCGTTTGCGATGCTTCTACACCACGCCCCCACCCAGTATCCCGCTAGAGCAGCGCGCCAGTGGATCCCGCCGAGCATCCCGCCAGAGCAGCTCGCCAGTGGATCCCGCCGCCGCCAGAGCTGCTCGTCAGTGGATATCGCCGAGTATCCCGCCAGAGCTGCTCGCCAGGATCCCGCCGAGTATCCCACCAGAGCGGCTCGCCAGTGGATCCCGCCGAGTATCCCGCCAGAGCGGCTGGAGCCCAGTATGCCGCCAGAGCGGCTCTCCAGTGGATCCCGCCCAGTATCCCGCCAGAGCTGCTCGCCAGTGGATCCCGCCGATTATACCAGCAGAGCAGCCCGCCAGTGCCGAGCATCCCGCCAGTGGATCCCGCCCAGTATCCCGCCAGAGTAGCTCGCCAGTGGATCCCGCCGAGTATCCCACCAGAGGAGCCCGCCAGTGGATCCCGCCGAGTATCCCGCTGAGCATCCCAGAGTAGCTCGCCAGTGGATCCCGCCGAGTATCCTGCTGGGTGGATCCTGGCGAGTATCCGGCCAGTATCAAACTAAAGCACCTCGCCAGTATTCGCCAGTGGATGCCTGCTTAATGTCCCGCCCAGCACACAGTTGGGTTTACGTTTCATGTTGGTGCCTTCGTGTTTTGAGTGTACCCCGAGGCTCAGAAAGGGTGATGGTTTTGCGTTGCTTTGGGCTGCGAATAAGCAACTTCGTTTAATCCCCCGTCGGGTTTCTTTTTGGAAGTGGCTTGGCTTTTGTTAATGGAACCGATGTTCTCGAGATCGGCTCGCAGACACGTGGAGTTTGACACACAGACAGGTGGATAAGGCTCTCAACGCAAAGCCACTCGAAAACCATGCTACGGTCGTAAGCTCGTAAGTGTGGAGGGTGAAGCGGAGTAATTTGTAAATAGAACGCAGCGTGTGATTTTTTTTGAAATGCTGAGGGGAGTCTGCTTTTCAGCAGCGCTTGTTGATTGCGTCGATTGAGCGCTGAGCATGTACAGGAACTCATGCCGATTCTCATTCTTGGGAAGCGTGTGAGACATGATGCTGCCAGGTCGGCAATGTTGACACTGTGAAGAAAGCTCGCAGTTAGACGTCGGTGGCTGTAACATAGAACGGCCTCCGCGGTGCCCTAAGTCTAGGCATCTCGGACTCAACTTGCCTTGTGTTTGCTTGACAGCATGAGTACCGATGCCCTCACATGAGCAAAGGCTACTGCTCAAGCTCAGTTTACTTATCATAAACGAAGAGCTTTACTGGCGCCTGCTTTATGTGCCAAGCCTGCCGCTTGCCTGCTAGCCTGGGACGGCAGGCTAGATCTCAACATGCAGAGAGCTGAAAATGTGTGGACTTGCCTTTGGCTAGCTGTTTCAGCTATTGCGCTTGATAGAAGTCAATAGCTGGAACTCTAGCAGGCTTATCAATCAGCAATACCAGAACCATCAAAGTTGCCTTAGGTGATTGTGTAGTCCCTCAAGCTCATGGGCTCAAGCCGGAAGCCCGCGGAAGAAGTTGGCTTCAAGGCCGGCAGCACTGCGGAGTTTCAATGGATGGAGTCTGGGAACTCGAAAGCGACCCAACATTGCATCTTCTTTGGCATCATGAATCATGTCGCACGGAAGTTGGCCTAATCATTTCAAACACCTGACATTTTCAGCTTCATTTGGGAGTGGTCGTGCGGGACTTGCCGAATCATATGCGCCTTCGCTCAATACAATAGTATGATAGACTTGTGTGGGGTGAGAGGACTGTTGTTTCTTTTGACGTGACCCTTTCGTGGCCATCACACGAGCAGGAGGCTTTTCCTTCAAAATGGAAAGAGTTCGGCTAGAGCTAGGTGGTGAGGTGGGAAGGCTGGACTTTTTTGCAAGGCTCATGACCTGATATGGGGTGGATAGCGACAACCAGGCCGGGAATCTGATCTTTCCGCGTTTCTTCGGGTAGCGTTGTTGGATGTCGGGCAGGAACCTTGCAAAAGGTGCCCGATCGAAGGGGAAGCGGGTGAGCCTGGCATGTCTGGGAAGGGTCCCGACTCAATGGCGCCTAAGCCTTGCTTTATAGCTTGCAGAGTTGAGTCTGTTGCTTCACTGGGCTGTGCCAGGTCTACCACAAGGTATTCGGACCCTCTCATCAGCAATGGCAATGGGTGAAAGCGACCTGGCTGCACTTCATCATCTTTTCATCTTTCGCATGAGAGATCTGATGGGATCTTAGGATATGCTGAATATCCTCATTAAGGACGGGGATTCTTGTTCCCGAAGTGCGCCAAAACCGCCAGCCGCCAGCCCAGGAGCAGCGCCTGCAGATGTCGCTGCCCAGGGCCAAGGAGCTCCAGCAGTACGCCGAGGCGGGGCCACTTTTTCGCGGGGACCAAATCGGGAGACGGGGGAAACTGAAAGCCAAAAGCCCCTCAAGGCCAGTGTTCAGGGAGCCATCCACCGGTGGAAAAGAATTGAGAGGTGTTCACATCCAGTAGTAAAGGAAGGCTAGTCATCAAAACATGTCAACGGTCATGCTCTGCTCAAGCCAGAAAAGGCAGACCAAGGGTTGGATGAAGCAACATGTTTTACACGACTAAACATGGCAACAGAACGGTTGATTCGAAGTTTGCAGAGGTCAATCAGTGTCTCCTACTTTGGTGCGACTCAGAGCAGATCAGACTTCTGTGAGCAGCTGTGAGCAGTAATTATTCGTGATCATCTAGCTTTGATTGAGCTCCTTTGCTCATCGAATCGAACCATGCGATTGTTGCTTTGCCTGTGGCTGCTTGCCAAGCTACAGTGCAAAGAATTTGTTGCTGATGCAGAATCCTATTCAGATGAGTGTGACTCCACCAATAGAGAGAGCTGCTCGCTCAACATCCTCCAGCGGCGGGCTAGAACATCTTTCAGCATCCAGGAGCACGAGAATGAGAGGGATGCGGGTGCAAAGGCACCGTTGCCCATCTCGCTGATCAAAGGCATCAGCTATGCTCCGATGCCCTGCAAGGGTTCCTGTCAGATTCACATGGACGACTTCATGGACGAGTCATCCAAGCCCCTTTGGGGTCCTCGCGGTCGGGCGGATCTGCAAGTCATCAAGGCACTAGGAGCGGTTTCGTTGGCTGATGTGCAAGAGTAGCAGATTGAACCCAAGTGAAACCGAGCAGGCTTCGGGGGGGGGGGAAAAAAAAAAAAAAACAAAAACATGGCTGGCATGGTGAACTGAAAGGTGTCTCAATCCGACTGTGCTGATCGATCGTTTTTGGCCAGCGGGTTCAGGAGCCAACCACATCAGGCTGTATGGCAACAGCGCCGAGGCCGCTCACGATGACTTCTTGGATGAGGCGCACTCATTGGGGCTATCTGTGATTGTTGGGATGAGCGATTATCCTTACACCCAGATGCAAAACAATTGCTTGGCCACTTGCAATTGTTTTGAGGCTGTCAAAGCCCTTTATTTGATGAACTTGCTCAACGGTTTCATGACAAAGGATAAGTTGTACCATCCGGCTTTGGCACAACTGATTTTGGTGAATGAACCCGACTTGAAGCTACCGGGCATTGCGGAGCCAGCTCGGTTTGTGAAGGCCATCATCAGTGCATTGGATGGAATTCTTGATGCTGAGCAGGAAGCTGGAGTCACAGGTCCGCTGGTGAACTTGACTGCGACCTTCTCCTTCGCAATTTGCTCCAGCTGTGGCAACTTTGCCCACGATCCCGCGCTGGGCCAGATGTATGCCCTGGAGCAGGCAATCTTGTACCCGGAAAGTGTTGGCTACACACCCAAGCACGATTTGAGGCATGCCTACAGAGCGCGCTGGCTGCACTCCTTCAACACTGCTGCACCTGCATCCTTTGTGAAGACGAGCTTTCTGGATCAATACGAGGATGCTTTCGCGAGCACCCCCGTGGTGATACAGGAGTATCACGCGCCAGGCTCTGATGTGGCCGCAGACCTGCGCAGCATCCTGGAGATTGCCGCGGCGTCGTCGCTGTTTCGGGGAGTCTCCTTCTTTGAGTTCCAGGTGAGATACGACAAGGGCGGCAGTGAAATGGCCTTCGGGCTCTTTGGCCTGGGGGATTTCAAGCTGGAGACCTTCGACTACCACGGCGGAGACTTCCCCAGCTGGTGCCTTGTGCCCGCGGCCAGCCGCTTCGGCCCGCTGCCCCGGCAAGTGGCCGAGGCCTTTGGCGGGGAGGGCGCGGCGGAGGCGTGCGTGCCGAACCCCTGGAAGGTGGCGCTGACGGGGCCGGGGCTCGCGAGTATCGCGGCCCAGGGGGACACGGCCGTGGCGGTGTTTCTGGGCCGAGTGGCGCAGCATCTGGGGCTCGAAGTGGCAGAGAGTCAGCTGCAGAGCCTGGCCACGCACGTCCTGCACCTCGACCGGCGCACGGCGGATTTCA